ACATTCTTTCCATTGAAATAGAAATTTCTCACTAGTGTAATGTCAGTGTCAAGTACTGCGCCTCTTGTAAGATTAAGATCAGTTGGAAGAAATCCTTCAAAGTGACTATTATAGTAATCCACATTTGCGATACCTGAGAAATGGACGAAGGCCATTACATCAGTTGTGAAACTACATACCGTAAAAGGAAAAAAAACAGTGTTACTCAAAGTTCCTTACTGTTAGCGCCTATGATCATCTCGTCCTGATTGAAACCCATCATGTATGGAACGTCATTAATTCGACCAGTCTTTAGAAGTTGCCAAGGATCAGCCGGCAGGAATATTTCCTGACCCACGTTAACTTCTACTGAGGGTTTGAAAAGGTAATGACCTCCTGACATACCCTCCTGTGAATATATTAAATATTATTTTCTTTTGTGTTTCACTTACAATCCGCTTTTATGTAGATAATTTATAATTTTACCGTCTCTCTAGACAATTTGTTTGCCATTTGAACAAGGGCGGTACTATTAATTTTCAATAATCCTTCGACAAGTTCGGTTGAATTATTGGTATTGATTCCGAATGCTGCTCCTAGAGCAAAGGAATCTTTGGTAGAGTTGTAGGTAATGGCCCAGGTAGTCATGACGGTACCGCTCTGAGCAATGGCATGGGCGAAGAGACCTTAAAAAAATATGAGAATTGTGGTAAAATATGAAAAAAAGAGTGTGAGTAATATGAAGAATTAAAATAAAGTACCAGCAGAGAGTGGTGAGATCATATGATACTGTACAGAACCAGCACCAGCAGCATCACCAAAGATGGTTACCCGGTTTGGATCTCCACCAAAGTAACGAATATTGCGCTTGACCCACCTCAAAGCAGCAATTTGATCCTTAAGACCCACGTTGCCTGGAGCAGCAGCATCTCTTGTGCTGAGGAATCCTGTAAACGATATTACTCAATCAAAGGAAAAATATTCTTTGAAAACGTCTTGGTGATATTTTATCAAGAAACTTTTATTACCTATTGGACCCAGTCTGTAATTTATCGAGACCAATACGACGCCATTTTCGATAAGATAATCGGGTCCATACACGTCACTGTCGCCGTTACCAAAATTGAAGGATCCACCATGCAACCAAAACATCACTGGTAGACCAGCTTTACAATCAAGAGTGGATGTGTAGACGTTCAAGAATAAACAATCATCATTTCCAATGATGTATTTAAAAGCTGAAGCGCATCTCTGAGGGCATCTTGATTTGTGTTGGGTTGCATCGTAATCACCAATCCAGGGCGCGACCTCTCGAGCAACCTGTGCAGTTCAATGAATTTAATAAATGTACATGATAAATGAATGAAACTAATGAATTATGTAAAATAAGTAAATTATCGTGTCCGTACAGAGAATCTATGTACACCAGTTGCGGGGGCTGCGTATCTTACGCCCTTGAAGCTGTACATAGTGACGCCATTTAACACAGTCCGCGTTTTTAACCCTTGCAAGGTACCTTTGGGTAGGTCGACCTTGACAATCTGTAAT